ATGTAGCTGGAATTGATCGGTTCAAAACGTTGAATTAAAGCTGCCCAAAACTTTGTCCATGACCCTTCGCCTCGGACCTCGTTGCTATTATAAATCCACTCGAGCGCCGGGCCTCGCAATAGTGTCGCTGCGAGCTGAATCCGCATTGCATCGTGTGTCGGGGTCGTACAGCCAACGGCCTCGAAGTAAATTTCGAGGGTCGCAATGAATCGACGGACGTCGGTGTCTCTCGCATTCGGATTAAATTTCTCCGGTAGCCTCGGACGTGCCGCCTCAAATTTCACTGTAGCCGCTGCCGCTGCTGCTGGGTGAAGTGTTGATGTCGCCGCTGCTGCTGTTGGTCTCGCTGCTGCATTCGCTGCTACATTCGCTGCTGTTGTGGCGGCTGCCGACTGGTTCGCGAGAAGCTCCTCTACTCGTTGGAGTGCCGCACGCATCTGGTCCACGTCGGTGTGTAACTCCGTAATTTTTCGTACATAATTATCACCATCTTCCTCCATTTGGCGATTTACAGAAAGATTTGCGACAGAAATAATTGAAGTCTAGGCGCTGGTCGACTTACTGCGAATCGAATCGATTGTAGAAATGACGAGCGCTGTTTCTGTTGGTCGAGTGATTCTCAGCCGAAATTCGCGTCAAATCTCGGCCGTTGAGATGAAAGTCGATCCGGCGGTCGAAATTCCAACCTTTTTGGGCGAAATTCTAAGGGCCGTTGAGATTCGAATCGATCTGACGATCGAAACTCCAACTTTTTCGCCACTGGACCTGAGGATTGTTCGAAAACCGGTTCGAGGGGGACGTTAACAAATAGTGCCGAACTGGTTTACGTACCAGAAATCAGCGCTTTTTGTCGTAGCCCCCGCGGTTTTAAAAGATAGTGTCAGAATCACTAAGGACAGCTAGGCTTAGGAGCCATAGCTTTAGTAGGGAAGAACTTAGGTTTTAGGGTTGAAGGAGGTGTCGAGAGAATTGTTGCAAGAAGAAGGGGCTTCACTAAGAAAGATGAGTACAAGATATAGCAAGAAGAAGCATGGGGCACCACCTACAGCAAATTGGGATGTGCTACACTCTACACTACAGACAATTATAAAGAACATATATAATTCAACAGATAGGTTTTAGCAGCTCTACAATCTTCGTGTGCAAACAGGCTGTGCGTCAGAGAACTGAAACTCAAACCGCCAGAGGACCTGTTGCACCATGTGTGACTAAGTCGGAGTGATGGTATGTCACATTTGCATGAATGTGAAGGGTAAGGTGGTGGAGCAAAAGGGCTGTATATACTGTAAATATTGTATATAGCAGAACGGAGCCAAACGAGAATGGAAGCCGAGGAGTCAGTTGACTTTTCGCGAGCGAGAAGGGGAGGAGGGGAGCTGATGTTTGCCGAGCCTAAGGGTTGGAGGGTTGCATGGGTGAGAAGGGGAATGGAGCTGACGTAAGCAAGGTGGGGCGGGCTGGAGAAACAGAGGTAGACGAGGCAGCGGCAGCGGGAAGCAGCAGCGGGAAGCAGCAGCGCGGGTTGAGAGGGATGGGTGTATGTGTGCATGCTTGTTTGCTTTCTCTATGTGTGCAGGATTGGGTCGGGGAGCCAGCTGGATCTGGAAGTAAACAGCTGGAGGTCGAGCAGACAGGGCAAGGAAGGATGGCAAGAGGCATCACGGCTGCAGGCCTGTGTGAAGCAGTTTATAGCTGCTAGCGTAGGCAGGGATGATGGGACAGCAGTACGGTGGTGGCTTCGCCGGTAGAATAGGAGGATTCCTGAATCCAATACCCATTGCTTATATATTTCCCTTGTTACACGAAAGTTTTGCTGCAGATCGAGCAAATGGTGAATAGAGGGAGATATGGCGAGCAAAGAACCGTAGTCTGTGGATAGGAGAGTGCAGTGTGTGACGGAGCAGCTAGCTCATCACATACAAGCAATCTTAGATGAAGGCATGCCCACGAGGTCGGGATTAGATTTCGCCGCGAAAGAACCAATAGTAGTTAGTGAGAGGATGGAAGGCGATGGGAAGAATGAAGCCGAGGCTCACGGAGAAACCGCCGCGCATGGCGCGGAAGGGGGTGTGTCCGGAAGGCCAGGGGGAGCCACGGGCTCTGACGCCGCATGCGAATCTACGTGTGGGACGGGTGAAACGGGAGGAGGCGAGGCAGGGAAGCCCGTGTCGGAGAAGGGTGGCGTAACCGCTGGGGGGAGGACGGGTGGCGATTGGCCATACCAGCGAAGCGCGTCATGGCAAGGGTTCGAGGAAGAGGCGGCTTCGTCATGTTGGCGATACACCATGCTACCAAAAGTGGAGGTGCCGGAACGGTTTTCTGGAGAGGTCCGGCGAGGGCCTTCGCTAAAGAACTACTTGATGCAGCTGGAGAACCTAAGAGCGCGGTGGGAGCGATATCATTTGGCGGCGGAGGAATTCTTTCGGGGATTGGCGAATACACTGACAGGGGAGGTGGAAACCAACTACCGAATCTGCCGCCGTGAACTGCTGGACTGGGCAGCACAGGGAAGACCAGGAGAAAGAGACCCGACGAAGCGATTCTTGGAGATGCTGCGCGAGCAGTTCCCACTGCAGGCGCCGGAGCGAGTCGTCGAGTTTCGAGACTTCAAGCGGAGGACTGGTGAATCATTGCTGGCGTACTACGGGCGTTTGATGGAGCTGGGGGAGGATATGAACTGCACGGCTCAAGGTTGGCTCGTCAGCAAATTCTTGAACGGGCTGAACTATGAGTTGCAGCGGGATGTGCAAGTAAAGATCTTCGAATTGGGGACAGCGGCGACGCTGAAGGTCGCGTACGAGACGGCAAGAAGGGTAGAGACGGGACGAAGGTTGTTTGAAGTGGAGCGCACAACGGAAAGGTCGGCAGAAAGGAGACGGCCTGCATGGAGCGCCAGCCCTGTTGAGTACGAGCGGCCGCCGAGGGGACCAGCAGACGTGCGCAAATGCCACAACTGCGGCAAGGGTGGACACCTGCGGCGGAACTGTCGCAATCCACCGGCATGCTCAGTCTGTGGCAAGGAGGATCATCTGAGGAGGGACTGCCCGGAGGCCCCTACGTGTGACAGATGCGGGAGAAGAGGGCACGTAGAGAGAGACTGCTACGCGCGACGAGGAGAGCCAAAAGAAAAGGGGGAAGTGGCGGAAATGCGTGCTGAGATTGAGCGGCTGAGGGCCCAGCTGGAGGAGCGAGAAAAGGGGTCCGAGAGGAGGCCGGCCATGGTGGCAAGGCAGGAGGAAGAGGAAGAAGGAAGCGAGGAGGAGTTCTGCCTGATGGCGAGACCGGCTAGGGAAAGGGATGAGCTGGGATTGAGGTCTAGATAGAGGTACCTCAGACAGAGGACAGAGGGACTGCAGGAGTACGGGCCAAGGCGACGGGCAGGAGAGGACAGAGGGGGAGCAGCACCCCGTCGGCACCCGCTAGAAAGGCTCAGCTACGCGGCGTCAGTACTCGTGGCGGAGAAGGGAAACATCACGGTAGGGGGGCTGCCGGTGAAGCAGGCCATCATTGACACAGGAGCTCATCTGGTGCTGATAGGAAGACGGCTGGCGGAGCAGTTGCAGCTGGACAGGCCAGAGAGGCAGATAGCAGAAGGACTGCTACTAATGACGGCGGAAGGGGGCGGTACGAAATGGATGCCGAAGACACGGGCAACGGTGGAGATCATGATCAGGCAGGGAAGCCCAGAGGAATGTACTGTGAAGCTGCAGTGCGGCATCTCACCATCAGAAGACTATAACATGTTACTGGGAGTGGAGTTTCTCTACAGCATCGGCTCAACCATCTGCAGGTGGGAAGAGCGGCTGATGTACCGAGTGACGTACTGGGAATATGACAGGTCCGTGGCGGAGCTGCCTGTGCGCTTGATTCGACGAGAACCGAGGGAGGCGTATCAAGCTGAGCTGGGGCACTTGAATTGGGACGCATTAGAGGAGGAAAGGAGATACCGGGATTGGCATCGACAGCAGTGGGGAGAGAGTGGCAGCTTGCGGCAGCTACACTTGGATAGCCGGGTATTTCAGAAGCCGATCGTGCTTCTGGAATTGTTTGGAGGGATCAGCACGGGACTAACAGCGGCGCTGAAGGCAGGTCTGCGAGTAGAGAAGTATATCTACGTGGACAATGATGACATCGCGAGCACGATATCCTGGCATCATATCAAGAGGCTGGAGGAGAGGTACCCCTCTCAGCTGTACGAAGGAGCGATAGAACGGGGAGCGGAGTGGATATGCCACCGAGTAGAGGACGTCAAGGAAGAGGCGCTTGCGCGCTGGGGACACATAGACTTGGTGGTGGCAGGCTGGGAATGCCAGGGGATGTCCCGGGCGGGTGAGGGACGAGGAATGGCAGATCCAAGGAGTGGGCTGTTTCGAGAACTGATCAGGACCCTAAAACTGATCAAGCGCAAACAAGGGGAGGTGGCGTACATAGTGGAGAACGTGGACACGAGGGATGACCAGAGAGAGGCGGTGAAGCAGGCAGAGGAAGAGATCCGAGGGGAGCTGGGGGCAGGGGTGGCCTGGGATGCAGCATCGGACACGGAGGTATTGCCAGAACGTGCTACCAGAAGCGATGCTGCAGTACGAGCTGTCGCTGATGGAGCGACCAAGACCACGGTTTGTGGCAGATATATTGGAACCCACGCGGACCCCAGCGCGAGTGCAACACCCGGACCATGAGACGCAGTATCCATGCAACGAAGTCGGGAAGCCACGACAAGCCTGGCCCACGCTGGTGGCTTACAAGAATGCGAAAGGGTTTAAGCTAAAGGACGGGGTGGAGGGACCCGGGATGGTGTTTGATCGGTTGAAGGGAGTGTGGGAAGAGCCGACGACGTTAGAATAAGAGCTAGCCATGGGCTTCATGGCAGGCGCCACCGCAAGCCTGGAAGTGACAGAAGATCAGAGACGGAGGGCATTGGGGAAGGCCATGGACCTCAACGCCCTACACAGCACAATGGACAGGCATCTAGAGCGCAACAGATGGGAGCGCAGGAGAGATCATGCGGCACGGGCGGAGCCGAAGACAGAGGACGATGAGACCAAGGAGAGAGAGGCAGAGAGATTCTTGGAACTCCTGGAGGAGGAGGCGTGGGAGATGCGAAGGAAGGGAGTGCCGCAGGAGAAGCGGATGGCAAGGCTGAACGGTCCCTGGGATACCAGGGAGTTATCCGGACCAGGAAGAGGAAGAGGAAGAATGGTGGGAAGGAGAGCCAGAGATGGACTGGGATTCAGAGGAGGAGGAGGACCCAACTGAGAGATGGATCCCGGACCCAGACGAGGTCTTCCTAGGACCTAGCAGGGCCTACATGGCAAGGGAAGCAGCGGAAGAAAAAGGGGGACGGGGGCAGGAAGTGGAAGAAGAAGTAAAGGAAGCAGGTGCGAGGGAGATGGCGGAACCAGCAGCAGCTAGGGAGACAGAAGAAGGCACAGGGAGGATAGAGGAGACGGCACCACCTGCAGCAGCTGAAACACACTGGGATATAGGAGGCGCCATCCAAGGGCAGGCTGCAATAAGGCTGGAAGCCGTGCTGCGGCAGCATGCAGCAGCGTTCGCCCACACGATACAGCAGCTAGGCAAGTGCGTAACTAGCACCATGCACCTACCCCTGACCAATGAAATCCCAGTGTACCAGCGGCGAAGAAGAATGAGCCCACAGGACATCAGTATCTGCACGGAAAAATGTCAAGAGCTGCTAGCAGCAGGCTTGATCAGACGGTCGACATCGGACTATGCGGCAGCCACGGTGGTAGCAGCACGGACAGACCTGACAGGCACCGTCTTGTCCCGCCGCATGTGTGGAGACTACCGAGGGTTAAACAAGGTGACAGCAGCAGACCGATACCCGATGCCGATGGCGGAAGAAATATTCGAGCTGCTGCAGGGAAGCTGGGTCTTCTCGACGCTGGACCTGCGACAGGGCTTTAATCAGATTCCAATAGCTGAGGAGGACAAAAAGTAGACAGCTTTTCACGGACCAGACGGAATCTATGAGTGGAACTTTATGCCTTTTGGACTAAGGAACGCGTCAGCGGTGTTCCAGCGGGTAATGGACGCGGTACTAAGAGAGGTGAAGGTGGCAGCGTGTTACATAGACGACGTTATCATCTTCAGCTCGGATGCAGAGACACATGTGCGTGACGTGGAGGCGACGCTGTCGGCAATCGAAGCGGCAGGCCTGACCTGTCACCCCGGGAAGTGCCGCTTTGGGCACAGCAGCGTAGCGTACCTGGGTTTTGAGGTATCGGGGGGAGAGCTCAGCATCCAGAAAGCCAAAGTAGAAGTGTTGGACCGGGTGGAAAGGCCGAAGGACAGGAGCAGCCTGCGAGCCCTGCTGGGCTTCCTCAACTACTACCGTAAATTCATCGAGGATTTCAGCAAGAAGGCGGCTCCACTGAACAAGCTGCTAAGGGAAGAGCAGAAGTGGCAATGGGAAGAGTCGCAAGTGCAGGCCTTGCGCGGCCTAATGGAAGCGGTCAAGGCAGGGGCCATGCTGAAGCTACCTGACGGGCAGCAGCCGTTCATCCTATATACGGATTGGAGCAGCGTAGGAATGGGGGCAGTGCTGAGTCAAATGGACAGTGGGGTGGAGAAGGTGGTGGCCTTTGCGAGCAGGACCTGCAGTCCAGCCGAGGCCAATTATTCGTCATATGAGGGAGAAGGGCTGGCAGCGGTCTGGGCGGTAGGGCACTTCCGAGTGTATCTGCAAGGGCGTCATATTACCTTGGTAACAGATCACCAGCCGCTACTGTGGCTGATGCACAACAAGACACTGACCGGCAGGAACGCGCGATGGGCCATGAAGCTGCAGGACTACGATTTCACAGTGAAGCATAGGCCGGGCAAGACGATGCAGCATGTGGACGGGCTCTCCAGGAACCCCCCGCGAGGAGGCAAGAAGCCGGAACCAGAGCAAGAGCCCCCCTCGGCAGCACTGACCGCCATGGTAAGCGAGCGGGGAGCAGGAGGAGGACAGCAGAGGGGTGCAGCAGATGTGTGGCGAGATGAGGAGACCTTGAAGTGGATCAAGGGCGAGACAGCCGAAGACGGAGGAGCTGGGGTGAGAGCAAGAGCGTGGGGGCAGCACTATAGGTGGTTCCAAGAGCAAGTGCAGCTGCAGACGAAGGATGGGTGGAAACGGGTGCCGGCACCGACGGAGAGGGAGGGGATAATTCGAGAAGTGCATAATAAACTGGGACATTATGGGCCACTGAGGACGCTGCAGCTGCTGCAGACCGGTTGGTGGTGGGCGGGGATGCGCAAGGAGGTAAAGGAGTGGGTGGAGAGGTGCGAATTATGCTGCAGGAACAAGGCGAGTCTGCTGAAGAGTCAGGCCGAGTTACAGCCTTTCAATATCGTGGAGCTGGGGTACCGTTGGTCGCTGGACATAGCAGGAGAACTGCCAGTGTCAAGGAGAGGCAGGCGGTACGTGCTGCTCATGATAGAGCACGTAAGCAAGTGGGCAGAGGCGAGACCGTTGGTGGCGAAGACGGCGGAAGCAGTGGCAGAGGCGTTTGAGGAGATGGTGCTGACGAGGTCCGGGGCGTGTGGAGAAGTGTTGACGGACCAAGGCACGGAGTTTCAAGGGGAATTCAAGGAGCTGTTAGTAGAGAATGGTATTCAGCACTGCACCACCTCCAGGTATCACCCACAGAGTGATGGTGAAGACAGTGAAGAAGGAGATCCGCGCTTATGGAGAAGCAAATAAGGGAGACTAGGACAAAAAGTTAGCTTGGGTGATGGGGGGGTACAGGTTCAGCAAGCAGGCCTCTCTGAAAGATGTCCCGCCGTACTACCTGCTCTTTGGAAAGCAGCCCATACTGGCGGTGGATGCGCCGAGGCTGATGCTGGACAGTGTCACAGCAAGGACAGCCGAGAAGTGGGTGGCTCTAGCCGATGCAAGAGCCAGGTACCTGAAGAAGATGTTGCCAGCAGCAATGGAGAGCTTGAAGGTGGCGCAGCTGCGGGACATACATCGTTACAAGCACCGGCAACTAAGCAAAGTGCTGGGGAAGCAGGCAGCAGTAGAGGAGGGGCAGGCGGTGTACGTGAGGCAAGCAAAGCAAGAAGGGCTGGATGTGGGAGTATCACAGCAGAGGTGGGAGGTGAAGGAGGTACGCGAGTCGGGAGTACTGGTGTTGGAGAATGCGCAAGGGAAACGGGTCATGGACCATGTCACCAATGTGACACTCGCAGGGAAGCAGAGGAAGGCGGGAAGCTACAACGGTCCCATGACCAGGGCGAGGACGGCGGTAGCAGGTCATGGGAGGGGGCAGGAGAAGTAGCTATAAGAGCATACCAGGAGAACCAGAGGCAAGAGTGGCAGAGAGTGGTGGCAGAGAGACATAAGGTGGACATGGTGCCGTGTCGCTTTTAGATAGCTTCACGTAGAACTTATTTTTCCGGCAGGATCTTGAACACCTTCCGCAGATGTTTGACGTGCTCCTTCATGTTCTTAGAGTAGATGAGAATGTCGTCCATGTACACCACCACGCATTCGTCCAATAGGGGCCGTAAGATGTGATTCATCTCCGCCTGGAACGTTGCTGGTGCGTTGCAGAGTCCGAACGGCATCACCAAGTATTCGTAGGAGCCGTATCTGGTACGGAACGCCGTCTTGTGGACCGAGTTGTCTGCCATCTTGATCTGCCAGTAACCCGACCGTAGGTCCAGCTTCGAAAAGACTGTTGCACCACGCAGTTGGCCTAGAAGATCGTCTATGCGCGGTATGGGTTATTTGTTTTTTACTATCTGTTTGTTCAGTGCGTGGTAGTCGATGCACATCCGTAAACTGCCGTCTGGTTTTGGAGTGAAGAGAACTGGTGCACCGCAGGGAGAGGTGGATGGGCGGATCAGTTGTCTGTTTAGTAGATAATCTATCTGCTTCTTCATGTCTGTCAGTTCGGTCGGACTCAGTCGGAAGGGTGCACGTGAGAAGGGTTTCGCACCTGGTTCCTCCACGATCTCATGTTCGTGGGTATGTACTGGAGGTACGCCTGCAGGTAGGTCGTCGGGCATTATATCCTTGTACTGCTCCAAGACCTCCTTCACTGCTGCAGGTAGCTCTGTGCTCAGCTTCTCCTCCTTTGCTGCTGCCATAACCAGTGCTAAGTAACCCGTGTTACTCTCGTTCACCGTCCATTCGAACCGTGCCAGTGTCGTTTTGAGGAAAGCTCCCTGTATCCGTCCAGCTTTGCAACTCCACTTGTTTCCCGTTGTTGTAGATGCACGCCTTCCGGTTGACCCAGTCGATCTCGGGGTTGAACCGCTTCAGGAAATCTCGCCCCAAGATGAAATTTAAACCCTTGATGTTCGTGATCGGCAACGTTGGCTTCCACCTCAGTGCCCCTATGTGCAGCTGTAGTGATGCTTCACCGTGGATGGGAAGTTTTGTACCGTCCACCATCGTTGCCGTGAACTTGGTCTCCTCCGAAGGTTCTCCAATTTTCTCCAACGTCCCGCGGTCGCACACCGAGTGGGACACACCACTGTCCACCAATGCCTGGAGGCGTTGCCCGTTGCAGATCACCTCGAGTAGTAGTGGTTGTTGCTGCTCCGAGTAACCGTAGATGGTCTCGCTTATAAAATCGTAGGGTACGTCGAATAGATCATCCCTCGGTCCTGCGCTCGAAGCTGCTGACTCCATCTCAGTTTCCAACTGAGCAGGGTTAGAAGGATTTATCCGAGGCCGATTCAGCTTCGTCTTGGCCTGGAACCTTCCCCTAAGCCTTTGCAGCTGTGTAGGCTTCACCTGTGGGCAATAAGGAGCCTTAACACTATGCTGTGGGGAGAGAATATTAACTCCTCGGAACGCACGACCCTTTTCAACGCTCCGGAATAGTTTGCCCAACTTCTCAGGTACCTGAATAATCTCTAAGGGCTTTTTCTTAGCCTCTAAGTCTCCCCTGATTTTTTCAAAGGCTTGAAAACCACCAGAAGTAATATTCTTACTCTTGGGGGTGTTCGGCTGGAGTTTCCCGGTCGGTGCAGAGTCTTGTTTCGCGGAGCCTCTATTTGTCTCGGTGATTTCCCCTGTTGCGGACCGGTCGTGACGTTTTAAATTCGCGCCATCATGATCTCCTTTTTTCACCCGCTCCGAAGTCGCCACGTCGTCGCCTTTTCGCTTTTTCTCGGATCTTTTCGTGATCGCCAGGTTGATCCACGGCTACTGGCGATTCCCATTTTGACTTCGGGGGTGCCGCACTGTTGTTGCCCTGCAGCTCTGCTCGTGCCTTCTTCATTTTCCAACACGCCAAGAGTCGATGTCCTGCTGCGCCGCAAAATTCACATATCTTGTATTTTGTCGGCCGCTGCGTTGCGTCGATCTTGTCGATATCCATCGGGTCGGCGGTTGTGGGTGGTGCCGATTGCTTCGTATCGAATGATCTGTTCGGCACGTGGCGTCGTGTCTCGGGTTGACCTCGCGTCAGCGCATCGAATCTCTCTGCTGCACACACCATATCGCGGTGGTTGTTGTAGTTCGCGGCAATCATCTG